ATTCAATTTTAAATTGTGGCCTCACTATAGTAAAATTGTATTACTATGTTTATCTTTTATTTAGTTTGACAACTGTGTGGCGCTCTTTTTTATATAAAATAAATAGATCTATATTTTGATATCGCCTATAAAACTATTTTTCATGGTAATTTCATGGCAAATAAGTTAAAAAATATTAACTTAAATCAAACCGACCACAAATCTGCAATATTGGCTTACAACAACTACTTCAATTTTGAACAACAATATATATGCATATTTTACTTTCTCGTATTTGAGTGTATATTTAATAAGAATATTTTATAATTTCAGCGGACTTCTAAATTCTAATTAGAAAATGACCAATCTATTTATATTTCGACTTGGACCATTCGTTGTAATATAATTAGGAACCGTAAGTTTCATGAAATCCAGACTGCTTTGTGATATGGACGTCATCTCCATGCATTATTTTTGGAAAACTTTTCTTATATATAGATAAACTTCTCTATTACTATAATTTCCTTATTTAAACATTTTCTTTAAATGAGCGTTTATTAACACCTTCATAAAACTTTCGATGTAACTGAATAGGATGCTGCAAATTGATAACAATCTATCACATTCAGCAAGCATTGACTTAACAATAACTTCGGTCAATCAAATGCAATTTCTTTTGACGGTGCGTTATATGTTTTTCTCTTATATATCATGAACGTTTGTGTTATAGGCATTGTGACGACGAATGCGAAATATATGCGTCCATTGTGATGCACTTGAAAACTCATATATTAATGATATTCACATTCAGTATAATGTAATGTATCGAAAGCGTAATATGGCGCGTACATTGAGATATATACTAGCGTTCATGACTGAATTGCATTCATGTAACAGAGTTGTCCAAAATAAATACATTATTATACATTCTATTAGTACAAATTTCAAAATTTATATATTTTCAAGCAAATCACTATTAATAATATTTAGTGAATATCATTCACCATGCTTACTTATAGCTGTAGATGAAGACAATAGATGATGGAAAATTTATGTTTTTTTAAATTTATTTTTAATTCTTGAAACAGCAATCAGAACTTAATAGTCCTACACGCTGTTGTGCTATTTTGACTTAATACTAGTCTGTTCTACAGATGGCAACCCAAACAGTTTTAATATTTGTGCAGCAATGCCGGGTGAGGGCTATTTTCACTTGGAAACATATTGCCATCTATATTTCAAAGTAAAAATCATTGTCTACTGCCTGACAACAGGCTGCTCGAAGTGGAATCGAACTCGAGACCTCTGATTCAGGTCCAGTCTTTCTAGCCACTTACCTACGAGCGAGCCCTTTAATGGTTTAATCACCAAAATCGTGCTTATTTTGGATTAATATTAATTGAATCTTATTCATCTTAACAAACAATATTTGGCTTACACATTTAATTAATTGACATGATAATGAAGGTTCAGACGTATGAACTATTTTTTGCTATATGTTTAGAAAATATTTACTTGAATTGTTCATGGATTGGTTTATGCAAAATTATTTAGATTTAGAGATTTAATACAAAAATTACATTATTCCACAATTCTATGTTGATTTCTTAACTTAAACGAAATAAGATTTGAAGATAAAATAAAAATCCATTTTTAACTTTCTATAGAGTAAGTTAAAGTAATGCCAAAAATTGTAAGTTTTTTGCAAAGACAGGTCCTGCCATTTCGAAGATACGGAGCTAAATGTGCAAAAATAGCAATTTTTGAATGGACTAAGCATCCAATGTGAATGATTCAAAAATCTTTCCGCTTATGTTGACGAAACAATTGCTTTTGGATTTTTTTTATTTTAAAATTTAATTTTTTTCCATATTTTTTATATACTGAAAATAATTCAGATTTTAATTTTTATTCTAGCTAAAGTTTTAAAGCTCATATATTTAAAATAAATAATTTTAGATTTATAATTCAGTTTATATATTTTTTATAAATATTAGACAATGTCATAGTATTTATAATTTATTAATAATCTCTGTGAAAACAATTAACATTCCTCGAACATTTCCTTGCGGTACTGGAAGTTTCAGCAATTTGCCTTAAGGCATGATACCACACACCACTAGTTTTTTGTATCTTTCATATAGATTCATATTATAGTAGGATAGGCATGGGATGGGAAATATAGATCAAAAATATTGGTAGAATGCTTCGACATCTATGAAAGTTGCTGTGATGCTTTTCTTAAAATCTTTATTTCGAAAGCTTATGAGTTAAAATATTGATTAACGTAGATAGTGAAACCTTTTACTTGTCTTTAAAACTTTAGAACCTGATCCGGAATTGGCTCCGGGTCCGGAACATTGTTGATGCTGGGTGCAATCGACAACCCTAATTCATATTTGGAATAAAAGCAACAAATGAGATACAAACATTGCTCTAACTGCATTAAATGTGGATATGTTATTGATATAATGTTCTTAAAACTGTGACCATTATTTACAATTGTGGTGTCGATTTGATATCAGCATCAGCGCTAATTCCTGTTTTGTTAACTATTTACATGTGGATCGTATACAGTTTATTCTTTGGCACCACTAATCAAAAATGATAATAGCAAACTGTGATACGATAATATACAACAGTATGGCAACAGGAGCATTGACCCTACTGATAATATACAAATGATGGGCTGCTCTTTATTGTGAAAGTCATAATATATATACACAGTTTAGTACATAATACTCCTACACACTTCTACAATATTTATATGTTGAACGACTGAAACAAATTTACATCAGAAGATGAATGCATGTAATATAGATGCGATCCAGATATAGATACCGTTGGGTCTTTTACTTATAAGGTTTATCATGTTTATTATATGCACAGAGATCTAGTTCTACAACTTTGAAAGATAACACATTGTTAATATAATTGAGTTTTTTGCCAGTTTCTAGCAATGTGGAATTGAATACAAAGCGTAGTTAATAACGGAGTATTGAAGTTTTTTTTTAATTCAGTATTTCTTGATTTTACGATGTAACTATTTGTAGGCTGTCTTTACATTCAAAAATAACATTTACTATAAATTAAAGAAGTTGGATAACACTTCATTGTTTTTTGTCACAGATGATAGTTAGAACTAATCATATTATTACCTACAAGCATTTACTATTATCTATATATATAACAACCTGAAGGAGAAGTCTGATTTGCTTTTTTGCATTTCTTCTACGTTTGAAGACATTCTGAATCGTGACGCTACAATTGTATGTCAACCAAAAGTTAGTCCTTCCGTTGACATTTTACCAAAAATGTAAGATTCATATATGAAACTCGATAGAAACTCGCATTGTTATGTGAGACCATCAGCCAAGTCGTTTCTTCAGAATGAGCAGGTTAGCAAAAATGCAAAGCTTTTGACTAAGTTTTCGCAAAAAATCTCGACACGATTTTGCAAATTCAAAAACTGTTCGAAAGATACCACTTTGTAATCTTATTAATAATTTTTTGGTAATGATTAACTGTGCTATTTTTTCATAATTAATCGTTGAATTTTTGGCGATTTTGTGAAACTTTGTATGGTGATAAAGATCATCCTATAATCTTAATTATATTAAGATAATTAAGATCAATAGGATTAATAACGAAATCAATTCCCTAATTATTAATGATGTCCTCTTCAATTTTTCTGCCGTTTCTAAATTCCTATGAATTCAAATTCAAAAAAAATTAAATTGGGATAATCATATTTATTCGTCATTAATACCTAAACTTTCCAGAACTTGTTTCACGTTAAGAGTGCTTAAATCTAAAATTAGTTTAAATTGTCTTCTTCTATCTATTACTCCAACTTCTACTCGCATTTGGTCTACGGCATTCAATTTTGGGGTTTTTCAGCATCCTTAAAACATGTTTTCAGTCTCAGAAAAGAGCAATAAGAATCATGTTCTCTCTTAACTCGATGGCAAGTTGTAGAAATATTTTTTCAGAAGTATAACATTCTTACCGTTCTTAACATATTCCTACTTATTACACTTCTCTTTATTAAAAATAATCCCCAGTACTTTATCTTCCATGTCTAATTCCTATGTCACAAGGAATAGAACTATCAAAGGATCGACTTTTAAGCTTAATTAATACTACTTAATTCAATTGATGGTTTTGGTATTCAACTGTTCAATTTATTACCTTTACAAATACGTCAACTAAGCAATCATTAATTTCACAACGTTTTGATTAATTTACTAAAAGCCAACAGTTTTTTCGACATTTCTGAATATATTAATTTTGACTTCAAGAAATACAGTGGTACCATCCCCTTCATATTATAAATATCTATTGTTACTAATTATATGTGATATCTTACAAATACAGCAATTTTTGGCTATAACTGAGTATTACTTAGCTGTGAAATATTTTTCTTCGGCTCTGATACTGCTATTTTTTCAGAAAAGCTTCTAAACTTTTTAATAATTTCTGCGAATTAATAGATATACAGGACCTCAACTTTTGAAGATGCTCTAAGTCTAAACGAAGACGTAATATCAAGTTTCATAAAATCAAGACACAAAATTAAATTAGTTTAGCATTCCTTTATTTGTATTCTATATTTGGTTGTTTTGTCATTTAATTGTAAAATTGTGAATTGTATATCTAATACATCTAATACATCTAATATAAATATTAAATCGATTATTTACATATATCGAGAAGTTTTTGCAAAGCAGCGCAAAATGTCATTTACACCCAGATCTATTCAGCCTTATTTATTTAATTATTAATAATATATTTCTTTGTATTGTCATAGAAAGCACTACTTTTTTGCTTACATATATTACCAGGCTCGATTTTTCTTATTTTTTTATTTTCTTTCAATTATCTCGTTAGAAAGAGGCGCAGCAGATATAATAACAGAGGGCAAATAACTCATTTATAGTGTTTCGTGACCACACTTAATGAAATTGCTGCCGCTTTTACAATGTGCACTTAACTAATTGTTTGTTTTTATTCTCTTGCAGGACATGGTGCACGCGAAGGATCCGCCTTCGTACTATTTGCGAAAGCTACGGACTTATCTGGATCCTAAAGCATCAAGGAGTCACAGAGTGAGACATTAAATGATAATAAAAAATAATATTAAATAATGGAATTTTATTGCATTATATGTTCTTAAATATTTTAGAAACGAAAAATGGTCATGGAATCGACATCTACACAAGTCCTGAGGGATTTAGAAATATCCCTAAGGACTAATCATATAGAGTGAGTAAAGTATTAAATAATTGATATATAGTGCTCTGGGTTCGTCGTGGCGAAGGTCGTTAACGCGTTGACTTTGTATGGACAGGGTCGCGCGTTCGATTGCCCGCTCTGGCAATCTGACATCGGGCAGCGCGATGTCCATTTTCAATTGAAAATATAGATCAAAATATCTTTCCAATTGAAAATAAGCCCATCTTGGGCACTGCGGTGTGAAATGGCAATGGGAAATCTCTCACACCATTCTTTCCTGAATCGAGTTGGAGTTTTAACTCAGCTCACGGACCTGCCCTAAGGCAGTACACCCATTATTTTATATAGTGCTATAGTTGATAGCAAATAATATAACGTATTGATATCATAATAGTATTAGCAATTTAAGGATTGGATTATGTATTAAGATAATACCTATTATTCAATATGAATAACTATGATTAATATTTTATTATATTATGTGTTATTTTCTATTAGATGGGTCCGGGAATTTCTAGATGATCGAAATCGTGGTCTAGATGCGTTAGTTGATTATCTAGGTTTTCGCCTAGGAATGATGAGGCATGAAAGGCGTCCGCAGCAGGGAGATTCCAGAACTGCTTCTGAGGAACGATTAGCAGCAGGTGTGATAAAATGACATATAGAAAGAAATAGTACAATTAGTGCATTTAAGAAACCTTTGATTATAACATATTTTTTATGCACTAACAATAAGTAAAGAAAGAACTCTAATATAATTTTACCAATTAGAATCTACGGATCTACGTATGAATTTTGGCAATCCTTCCATTATTTTTGAGAAACTTATGATATGCTGATAAACTTAATGAATCGTCATACAACTTGATGATATAATTGACAAGTACATTTTGAAATCATAAGTCATATTGTTTATAATATATTTTCATTTTGATACATTTATATATTTTTATGGCAATAAGATCATACCTTAAATTACTACGTCACAGACTTTTCGAGAGTTTTGTGTCATCATTAGTTTAAATTAACAGAAACGTAATATATTTTTTATAAATGAGTGATAAGAAATTAACTTTAATAACTTTTTAATGACATTGTAACTTCCCGTAGAGTAAGTTATTGTAATCGTGCAAGAATCGAAATTGAATATTTTTACATTTCTTCCCGTTTTGAAGGTTTCTGAACATTTTGCCATACTTCAGAAAAAATGGATGTGTGTATGTATGTATGGATACAATTTATTTCAAGTTGTAGTTCAGTTCAAGTCAGTTCAGAAAACATTCGATTTCTATTGATAGGGAGACGTGCTGATTAGTTTTTGGCAAAGGCAGGTCCAGCAATTTCGAAGATGAGAGAACTAAGCATCCGATTTGAATGATTCAAAAAAACTTCCTGCTTGTGTTGACGAAACGATTGCTTTTGGAAAAACTTTTTTTTAATTTCCAAAAAAAATATTTTTTTTTAATATTGAAAATAATTCAAATTTTATTTTCTTTTTTTAGCTAAAGTTCTAAAGCTCACTTATATACTTCTAAAAAATAATTTCAACTTTGCAATTCAGTTTATATAATTCTTATAAATTATTGCCCTTCATTTTAAATTCGATTGATAAAGTTTTGCTTATTTGCATTTCAGATGCTATGCACCACTAGTTTAGTATAATATCAAGCTTTGTAAAAAATGTCAATTTCAATTTCTGACCACTCATAATAAAACTCAACTCATTCACGTACTATTATATTTACAAACACTGTTATATACTCTCGTACTATCATGTACACAAATATTATTACTCATTCACGTACTATTATATTTACAAATACTGTTATATACTCTCGTACTATTATGTATACAAATACTATTACTCATTCACGTACTATTATATTTACAAACACTGTTATATACTCTCGTACTATTATGTACGCAAATACTATTACTCATTCACGTACTATATTATATTTACAAACACTGTTATATACTCTCGTACTATTATGTACGCAAATACTATTACTCATTCACGTACTATATTATATTTACAAACACTGTTATATACTCTCGTACTATTATGTACGCAAATACTATTACTCATTCAGGTACTATTATATTTACAAACACTGTTATATACTCTCGTACTATTATGTACACAAACACTATTACTCATTCACGTACTATTATATTTACAAATACTGTTATATACTCTCGTACTATTATGTACGCAAATACTATTACTCATTCACGTACTATATTATATTTACAAACATTGTTATATACTCTCGTACTATTATGCACACAAATACTATTACTCATTCACGTACTATTATATTTACAAATACTGTTATATACTCTCGTACTATTATGTACGCAAATACTATTACTCATTCACGTACTATATTATATTTACAAATACTGTTATATACTCTCGTACTATTATGTACGCAAATACTATTACTCATTCACGTACTAGTATATTTACAAACACTGTTATATACTCTCGTACTATTATGTACACAAATACTATTACTCATTCACGTACTATTATATTTACAAATACTGTTATATACTCTCGTACTATTATGTACGCAAATACTATTACTCATTCACGTACTATTATATTTACAAACACTGTTATATACTCTCGTACTATTATGTATACAAATACTATTACTCATTCACGTACTATTATATTTACAAAGACTGTTATATACACTCGTACTATTATGTACGCAAATACTATTACTCATTCACGTACTATATTATATTTACAAACACTGTTATATACTCTCGTACTATTATGTACGCAAATACTATTGCTCATTCACGTACTATTATATTTACAAACACTGTTATATACTCTCGTACTATTATGTACACAAACACTATTACTCATTCACGTACTATTATATTTACAAACACTGTTATATACTCTCGTACTATTATGTACGCAAATACTATTGCTCATTCACGTACTATTATATTTACAAACACTGTTATATACTCTCGTACTATTATGTACACAAACACTATTACTCATTCACGTACTATTATATACTCTCGTACTATTATGTACGCAAATACTATTACTCATTCACGTACTATATTATATTTACAAACACTGTTATATACTCTCGTACTATTATGTACGCAAATACTATTACTCATTCACGTACTATATTATATTTACAAACACTGTTATATACTCTCGTACTATTATGTACGCAAATACTATTACTCATTCACGTACTATATTATATTTACAAACACTGTTATATACTCTCGTACTATTATGTACGCAAATACTATTACTCATTCACGTACTATTATATTTACAAATACTGTTATATACTCTCGTACTATTATGTACGCAAATACTATTACTCATTCACGTACTATATTATATTTACAAACACTGTTATATACTCTCGTACTATTATGTACGCAAATACTATTACTCATTCACGTACTAGTATATTTACAAACACTGTTATATACTCTCGTACTATTATGTACGCAAATACTATTACTCATTCACGTACTATTATATTTACAAACACTGTTATATACTCTCGTACTATTATGTACACAAATACTATTACTCATTCACGTACTATTATATTTACAAACACTGTTATATACTCTCGTACTATTATGTACGTCATTTAGAAAATATGTTAAAATGCACTGACGTTCAAACAAATCATTCTCGAAATATCTGTAAGTTACAACTTTATGAAATAAGTGCAAAAATATGGAGTAATTAATGTTTCATACATAATTAATATTTCACTCATAGTACAAGTTGAAGAAAATTTTTTACTCAGCAGCTGCTTTTTCATATTGTTTACATAATGAAAAATCTTTGCGGAATTTTTTATCAAGATTATTTTACATTATTAATAACGATTTGCGTAAAAATTTTTTTGATTAATTTTAAGTATCTGGGAATTGGTAATGAGAATTTACTGAATTTTGATATAAAACTTACTTGTGGCATATTATTTATTGCCATAATTTTCATATGCAAATGCGAAAGATATTAATTGTCTTCGAGTATTTTTATCATAATAACCATGAAAAAAACTATGGCTAGCGATTAAGTCAGATTTTGATTTTATTATTTTAATGAAATAGTTTTGTTCTAGACTCTATTTTTCAACTATTACTGTTATATCAGTTTCATTCAATATTTTTGAGGAAAGCTGAAGATTCTTTTGGTATAAAATAACCAGAGATAGTTGGGTTGTCTTCTGAAAAAAACACGTAGTAAAAAAAATTACATCTGAAAAAGAATTAGCTACTGATCGCTGTACATAACATATAAATATGAGTTGATAAGATTTCAATCTTTTAGGAAATTGCTCTTTATCATCTGCGATGGACGGCACAATGTCACATCACGGAAATGGAACGATAACTTCATTGAGTCCTTCAGGCACGATGTCTTCTCGTGGTACCTATAGGCCATCGTTAGCCACCATCGCTGATAGCCCTGGTGTCAAACGGCGCTCAAGACACGCTCAGCGCCTAAACATGGGCGCTGCGACGGATGATATACATGTTTGTATAATGTGCTTGAGAGCTATAATGAATAACAAGGTAAATTTATAACAAATTCGAAATTATATGCTAACAATTCTAAAAATATGAAGTATACAATAAAGTAATGAATTTTATGACATAATTGGTTATATTTCAAAGTCACTCTTAAGGGGGTATTCTAGTGTAGAGCGATAAATTTTAGGTCATTTTTAAAGTGTCGTACAAGAAAGCAATGAATGTTTTTACTATCCATTTTTTACCACTTGTTTATTAATATTTTTAAAATACAAAACAAAAATTAAAAAATGAGAAAGTTGAAAATTGTAAAAACTGGCAGCTGATAAAGTGGGTGGTCTCAAAAAATTGGCACCTCAGTCTTGACATGATTTCAGCCCTCCTAGCCATCGGAAATGCAAAAAATAAAAAGATTATTAATCTACAATAATGTCGCAATCGCCCGAACTAGCGATGAGTAAAAAAATTTTTTTTACAAATTGGCGACTGTTTGAAAAAAGTGTATATTTTACTGTTTTTTTTTGAATTTCTCGAATTTTTTTAAATAGTAAAAATTGGAATTTGGGGATAATCCTAGTTCGGGCTATAGATAGGTCTATAAACAAGACTCTCTGAACATTTCAAGTGTCGGTCGATTAAAACTTGAGAAATCGTGTCAACAGTACTGAAAAAGTTTTGCTTGAAGCCAAACCAGTATGGAGACCGAGTCAGTAAAATGCCTATATCTCCGAAAATAATTCAAATTTTCAGAAACCTTCTCGTACTCATATTTTTAGATAGTTATACTCTGAAAATATAAAATAAAAAAATCGATTTTTTTTAATTTCTACACTAGAATACCCCTTAAAAGTATTATTGAACTCGTATTGTTCCAGTTTTTAAAAACAGAATTTTATTTAAACATTTTTGAGGAGCTAATAAAAAACATATGTTGTCTGCCTTTTTTGGCTGTGTTTACCATCCACAATAATAATAAAATAATTAATTATGATTGCTATGTTGGAGTCCCAGCACTTGCATGAAATTAGTATGAGGATTGAGGAATCTGCTATAATGCTAAAAGGCCCAAGTTTGATACAATTTATTGTTGATTTATGTTGAAATTATTAATTGTATAATATATAATATGTATTCAATTTAACATAGATTTATAGTGACAATAACAATTGTTTTTTATAATAATATATATTCATAAAAATAATAATTGGAAACAAAACTAAAAGATTCTATGTTCTGATGTTGACTATTTTTATGATATTGTAAAAAATAGTTGCAACTATAATCTTTGAACTACATCTCAAATACTGATATAATTTTGATTTTAATTAAAATGCAAGCTTTATTTAAATTTTTAATTACTTTTAATACTTTGAAATAGATTGATAAATAGCTTGTTTCACAATAGGATATTCATAATTCGTATAACATTTTTGTCTAAGCATTTGCGCCTGAGCTCGGTTTATTAGTGAATTTACAGTGAGAGCAATATTACATCAATAGAACGAATGATTTATTTTAAAAATGAATTATTACTACATTGTGATAGAAAGTAAAATACGCAATTCAATTATTTCAATTGCCACTGATTATTGTGCAGTAAACGGAGCGTTTAGGGTCTGAATTTTTTTCACTAAAGTTTGTATTATTATGTTGATCATGAAATGTATCTACCTTTATGGTACAGAATTTTGGCAGGCGATTTATTCTTATAGTAAAGTATCTTGTGTTAAATATATTGATATAGTTTTATATCACTATAGACAAATGAAAGTTTAATAATTGCAGTAAAAAGAATAACAAATATACGAGTTTAGACAAAATTATACTGGGTACTAGTGTTATATTAACTGTTTTTATTTAAGGGTAGTTTTAAGAGTTGAACAAATTATGGATATGGTAATTATTTTCGAGAAATTGAAAAAATATTCATATCATCTTGAATTTATTAATTTTCTTTCAATGGGGTTGTTTTTAAGGGTCTAAAAGGGTTAAAAATTTGATAATCAAGATGGAAAACATGAAATATCATTTACTTTATACGTAATTCTTATTATATCATACCGAAATTTATTTTTAAGTGTTTTTTTTTCAATTTAGAGGTTTTTTGAAGGGTTTAGGGTTTTAACAGGGTTGAAAATGATTTTATTGCAAGGTAAATGTATTAAAAATATTTTTTAATTATATCCTATAATATTAAAAATGTTTACTAGCGATAAAACGGCTCAATGTCCACTTATTTATTAAGGGGTCGAAACCCCCCAAGGGGGTGGTGGCGGCACCCGGATTGTTTTCACTTTTGAACTTGAGGTTAAGATGAACCTAATTTCAAAATTTCATGCGATTCGGAGTAAAAAAATCAGAGGTTATACCCTTTTTTCCTCTCTATATACTGCACAATTAATTTATTTTGTAATTAATAAATAATTATTTCATTAGTATGGCTTTAACATGGTTATACAACATCAAGAAGCGATAAATAGTATTGCGCAGTCTTTGGCTCATCGATCATTGAGAACGAAAGCGCTGGCTTTAGAGCTTTTGGCCGCGATTTGCCTGGTAAAAGGAGGTCATCGAATTATTCTAGGAGCTTTTGATGCTTTTAAAGAAGCTAGACGTGAACCAGCTCGATTTGTCACTTTAATGGACTATTTTGTGAATTATGAGACATTCCATATAGAATTTATGGTAAGTAGTAGGATAATTACCACAAATCATTATTCAATTTATTAATTTTATTTATTAACTTAAACTAACTTGTAAGAGTATGATTTCTTAAATCACTAGCATACTACTAATCCTTTTTTCATCCCAGGTGGCCTGTATGCAATTTGTGAACGTGGTAGTCCACTCTGTTGATGATATGAACTTTCGAGTTCATCTACAATATGAATTTACTGCCTTAGGATTAGATGAACATTTGGAGCGTTTAAGAGTTATTGAGAGTGAGGAATTACAAACTCAAATTTCTGCTTATTTGGACAACGTTTTTGATGTAGCGGCTCTTGTCGAAGACAGCGTAACTAAAACTGCTGCTTTGGAAAGGGTCGGAGAACTTGAGGACGAATTGGCTCATGTAAGAGAAAGATAGTTGGAGAAATTGAATTAAAATTCATTTCAAATTCATTTCAAATTGTAAAATATTTCATTATATTAATGATATTTTTAATTAGAACTTCCATTGCTGTAAATTTAACCACAACGGAACATGAAATAAATTAACTATTGATTAATATTTTAATCCCACAGTGTCACGATCGTATGTCAGATCTGGAACATGAATCTCTATGTAAAATAGCAGAGCTGGAACGCGCCATTCAGACCCTGCGCCAAGAACGCGACCAGGCCATACAGCAAGCGCGGCAACATGGTGAAGAAGTGGCCACTCTAAGGAGGGATGCTAAACAAATGAGGGAAAATGAAAGAAAATTGAGGGATCGTGGTGAGAAAGATACATATATTCTCAAATATATTATATTCTCAAATTTGAACTGTATAGTCGTCGCTAGAGAAATAGTCGTCACTATTACATGTTAAACCATATGAGCAGACACATTATTTTATTTATATTCTGTTATATATTGTTATTTTTAATATTGGTAAATATTATTTATATAATAATATAACTTTTATATGTTATTATTGGCACTCCTAAATTTATATTTTCATTTTTTATTCTTTATGTAATTATCATTGAAGTCATTAGAAATGCTTGAAATAATTTTTTGTAATGCTTCGGTAATTTTAATTCGTTACATTTTCCTTTGTATATTACGGCCACTATTATAAATATCATGATTTCAAACCAATGAATTACTTTATGGATAAGTATCTTAAGTTATCTTTGAAATTACAGCAATTTATTCTATGCTGTTTTATAAATATTATGATTTCAAATCAATACATTACTGTGACTATAAATCTAACTTATCTTTGATGACTGCTTCAAAGTTTATCTGACATTTTTATATCAACGGTTATCACATTTTTTATGTATTTTTGTGTTCATTCTTATATTAAAATTATATCAATTTCAATCTATTTTCAGGAAGTGGCGATACATCCTCCACAGCACCAGATTCGACATCCGGTGGTAGCACAATACCCATTCCTCCTCCAGCACCTCCAGCGCCACCGCCGCCACCACCACCTGTATGCGCTGCTCCTCCTCCCCCACCGTTTTGCCCTCCTCCGCCTGCACCACCGAGTCTATTGTCATCGTCCTGCCCTCCGCCACCAGCACCACCAGGGATGATGCCAGCGCCAGACGGAGCCATGACAATTAAAAGGAAGGTGCAAACAAAATACAAGCTTCCGACGCTCAATTGGATTGCTTTGAAACCAAACCAGGTAATAATAATATCGGTCCAAAATATGAATGTTTGAAATTTCTGGATGTTTCAGTACCTTATTAGAAATAATATTGGTAAACGTGGTTAACTTTATGAAAATTAAATGCATATTAAATTAATTTAAAATTGAAGAGCCATTTTGGAATTTTATCAGTCTTTTGTATTACAAAAAAATAATTTTTTATAAATGAATTTTATATGAAATATTTAACAAAATGACCATGTATTCATTGACTACAGATACCATAATTTTACATCTATACAACTTTACAATTAGTAAGATCTTGAATCATAACCAAACACACAATTTTTGTAAAGGTTCGAGGAACAATATTCAATGAGCTGGATGATGATAAAATAATCAGTTACATAGACTTTACTGACTTTGAAGAACGGTTTAAACTTGGCCCTAGCTTGAATGGAACATTGCTGAATGGCCACAGTGATACAGATGGATTATCTACATTCCCCAGTAAAAGGTTTAAGAAACCTGAAAGCATTTCTTTACTGGAGCATACTAGGCTGAGAAATATAGGTAAGTTGAAAATAAAAGATATTGCTTTGTATTTAAAAAATATTTCATTTATATTATTTATTTAAATATAATATTTATTTCATTCTGCAGCTATATCTAGAAGAAAATTAGAAATGCCAGTGGAGAAAGTAATAGCAGCAATAAATTCATTAGATCTTAAACAATTGCCTTTGGATAATGTAGAATTACTGCAAAGGATGGTCCCAACAGAAACAGAAGCAAAAGCTTATCGTGAATATCAAAATGAAAAGAAAAATATTTCTCAACTTACAGACGAAGATAAATTTTTATTGAATCTAACTAAAGTTGAACGAATTACTGCCAAATTGAACATCATGAATTATATAGGAAACTTCTTTGATAACGTACATTTGGTAACTCCTGTAAGTTTTGAATGCTATAACTTCAATTTAATGAATGAATAAAATGCGTACATGACATTATATTCTAATTGCAGCAAATCCATGCTGTGATATCTGGTTCTGCCTCCGTGAAGAGTTCGCAAAAATTACGAAAAATTCTTGAAATCATATTAGCTTTTGGAAATTATTTGAATAGTAGCAAACGTGGACCAGCATATGGATTTAAATTACAATCCTTAGATACTTTGCTTGATACAAAAAGTGCCGACAAACGAATTTGTTTGCTACATTATATAACTTCAACAATAAGACAAAAGTTTCCAGAATTATTGAACTTTGAAACTGAACTTTTATATATAGATAAAGCTGCTCAAGGTAATAAAAAAGTTGTAAAAAAAAATTATAAATATATAATTTTATGCAATAATAAATAAGGACAATCATATTATTGATATTTGATTTTCATACTTTTTGTTTATAGTATCTTTGGAGAACATAAATGCAGATATGGAAAATTTAGAAAAGGGTATGGAACTTATTCGTAAAGAAGCAGAACAAAGATCTAAAAATTCGGCAGGTCCGAACATCATACTCAAAGATTTCTTACAAAATTCTGAGGATAAATTAAGAAAACTTAAAGCTGAAGCAAAAACTGCACAAGAGAGTTTCAAAGAATGTGTTGAATATTTTGGTGAAAGTCATAGAACTGTAGATGCAAACACATTCTTTAATTTAATAGTAAGATTTATCAAAGCTTTCAAGGTAACTTTTCAGTCAGTATTCTTGTATTACAATTATTTTGGGAAATAAAAGCTTTGCTGTATAGCTCACATTTTTAATTATAAATGATATTTTGGAAATATTGTAATTAAAGTGATGATGCTTACGAAACGTAAAAAATATAGCAGTAAAATCTTAAATATTTATATAAATTCAGAACTATAATATAAATATAATTAGAACCTTTGACAAAATCTTACAAATTTAAAAATTAATTATATATATAGGTAATATTTACATTATATTACAGACTGCTGATCAAGATAATGAGCAGCGAAGAAGACTAGAATTAGCGGCTTTAGAAGCTTTAAATAAACCAAATGAAGAAGTAATCAAGAAAAACAAAATTAATCAGAAAAAGCAACAGGTTTTAATTTTTTTTTTTAAATTAAAAGTAAACAATTGAAAAATATTTTTTTCTCCTTCGAGTGATAAATAGAAATGATTTCTACCAGATGATTTTTCAATAAAATTTACAATTATTGAATGCTATTAAAATATGACTGTACAATTTTTAAATGAACATTTATAGTATTTATAAACATTTAAAGGTTTACCTCAAATTTAGCAGTTGATTTTTCATTTTGAACATAATTGAGTTTTTATATATTTTCTATATTTTATTTTCTGTATTAAGAAATCAAGATTGATGCTTTCCAGGATGCTGTGATCAATGAACTAAAACATAAGACGAATCAAGTGAGAGAAAAGAAACTTTTGCAGCAGGATGAGGTGTACAATGGTGCCTTAGAAGATATTTTATTAGGTTTAAAAAGTGAGCCTTATCGACGTGCCGATGCTGTTAGAAGAAGTCAAAGGAGAAAAATAGATAATAGGTTATCAAAAACTCTTGAAGAATTAGAATTTTAATATTATATATTTTAGAATTTTGTTTAATAATTGACTTATAGAAATAAGACATATTTAAGTTTATATTTACGTTAACTTATGTTGTTTTTATAGTCCTATGTGTTTATATAAATATGTTTCCAGAAGTGTGGTGTTATTTTTCAGGAAGGGATAATATGATGAGCGGGTCATCCACATCAGAAGTAATGAAAAGACATTATTTTACATTAATTACTAAATATTCTATTTTTTATATTATATATAAAATCAAGATTTTGAAAACTAAATTCATATACATCAAAAAATTAAAAGTTTTTTTTTTTATAAATATAAAATTTGATTTTATCTCTTAAATTTTATTCTTGAAATTACATTACTTGTTTTTATAATTCAATTTGAAATATGTAAATTTATAAGAGTGTATGAACGATGTATGTATGTATGTACTTGCTGAATGAAAATTGAAAAAAAGATCTTTATAGTACAAAACTAATTTACAGTCATTGGGATTTCAGTTAAATTTATATTTGAAAATTATAATTGATAATTCAAGTTTCATTGCTTTTTATTGCATTTATAAATATTCTGCTTAAATTATTATACAAAATAAGAATATTTCATAGTTTAGCATATTATACTGTACTTTTTAATATATTCTATCAAAATTTGTATATATAATATTAAATTGAAATTGTTATTGAAAACTGTTTGTTAGTAGAATATTTTTTAAAAGTGTTTGTATATGCTGAAATTTTTTAATATATTAGATTTATTTCCATTATTTCAAGTTCAGGTTTTATTGTTAATAAATATATGAATCTCTATATTTCCATATTGTTATGTATCATGTTTTATTTCAACATATCGTCAAAATAAATTCATTAAACATAAATCAGAGAATAATTTAAATATCCCACCACTATTCTACATTGTACCCATACTACCAACTAAACGAACTGAATTATGATTAAAACTTTTTTTCATCGCCTGGCATTATTTAATTTTAATCTAATAACTTATTTGCACATATGCTATTTAATTTCATTATTTTACGCATTAATAATAAAATACTACCATAATTGTCCATTTAAATTTATCTTTTTTAGCATACGGTGATGACGTTGCTGTATAACAATGGCCGATAGCAGACGGCTATTGAATTCCCTTACAATTTATTGCACTTAAATCTAAAGAAATTATTATGATCCATGCTCCATCGAATTGAATGAATATTTTTTTAAGATTTATGATATCAAACTCCATATAATTTATAAATAATTTAGTACTAAGAGACCTTCATATAGCTATAAACCGATAATTAAAATGTCACATATCGAGATATATCATTTAACTATGTGTAACAAAATGTGAAGTGACAAATAAATGGATACGGCTCACGCCGTGATTCCAGGTGAGTCCTTACCTCATATATTTTATTTCACTACAATTTGATGTTAAAATTTACAATGCATATAGCTTTAAATAATTTTGCTATGCGATGCAGTTCCACCCGTACTAATGGCTACCGTAAAATTCACCTTCAGATAAGATTAGTCAAGAATATGCTATTCTTTTTATTACTAGTATATTTGCTTTCTAAAACTTTTAATCTTCTTTTTTTTATTAAAATAAATTTACCTATTGCTTAACAAATTGCATGAAATTTATTGTAGGTTATATGTCGCCAATCTTAACCTTAGTTTTATTCGAAGGTTTAATGACAAATACTAGAAATAGTATTTTGTATTAATATTATATGTAATTTTATCTTTATAATTTTCCATTTTATATTACTGTCGTCTTTATGTAAATATTTGGGAAATAGATATTTTATAATTATATCATTTTGATTTCTTATAAGTGTTTAATAATATAGTATTGAAGTATGGAAGTCCTTTATAAAAATATTTAAATGTGTTAACAAAGTTTTAAATATTTTATTAATCTTATGCAATCTGATATAATGCCAGGTAAATTATTATGAGTATTATTTTGTTTGGGTATTATATTACTGATATTCTTTTTAGATAATTACGATACTGGATGATAGTAAATACATGCAATATCACTATAATAGTGATTCACATATAATGGATAGGGATAGAACAAGTAAACACACTAAACGTCATGGTAGAAATAAAACAGGCAAGAAAACTAAAAAGAAGAAGAGGTCTAAAGACAATACCCCACAGGTAAATGCTAAAATTAAGATTTTTTTATAATTTTGCATTTTTGGTCTGTTTGCCATGAGATAAGTCTTCTTAACATTGTTGTTCGAACTAAAATATGTTTATGTAAATTGAAAAGAAGCCTGAAATTGAAATTCACTAAACTTTCAAAAAACAAGTTGTCTTTAACACAAATCATTATCTCATATTTGGATTGAGCTCTGGCTATTTTGTTTCCATTTCATACATAATAAGCTTAATTATTGAACAAATAATTATGTTTTTAGATAGCATCCCTGAGACCAATAGTTGAATATTCAGATGTGAGCAGTGAGGATTTATCAGCACCAGAAGCTGGCGAAATTCAGTCTGAAGAAAGTCCATTTAGTGAACAATCATATTCTAGGCATTCTGGGATTGCTGAAAGATCCAGAGTCATACCGGAGTATATTGATATTCCTTCAATAAAACCTCATATTAGAAAACACTCACCGACATCTGTGTCATCACATGCCAGAATATATTCACCTATAGTACCTCAAGAAATTTCAATTTCAAGAAAACATATGCGACTAACACCACCTTCTCCACTTGTATATGAAGATGAAGAGGATAGAAAGCACAGGAAGAAGAAAGAAAAAAAACATAAAAGAGACAAAAAGGGGAAAAAGAAGAAAAAGAAAGAGAGATCAAAAGGAAGCAATAGTGAATTATCAGAAATTGAAAGCTATGAGAGGTAATTAAGAGATATGAGAGCTAAGAGAGAAAATCAATTAAATTAAAATAAGTTTACACCGAGAATTTGTTTATTTCTTTTAAACTTACAGTATAATAACTAGTTGAAGTTATAATAATTTTCTTGTTATAGAACTCCAAAATGTGAAGTGGCTTTAAGTGATTGGGAAACACCTGTTGCAGCAGCTGCTAGGTCTGCAAAAGATATTTCACCTGCATCCATCATTAGTCCAGATGAACAATTAATTGAAAATGATTCATATTCACCTTCTAGAAAAACTCCGCCATCTCGATCTTCTGCAAGGTAATTTCTTTTTATCTACATCAATATTTTTTGTTTGACTAATTTTTTATCATGAAAGTAACCATTAACATTGTATTAGTAATAAAGTTTTGTGTACAAGGATTTTAGCGTTCTGGAATTGTTTGATCAATCGAAAGTATAACTATAGATTATTAATGAATGAATAGTTACCATAGTAACTTGTACATTGCCATCAGGGTTCAAATTTCTTTAGTTTTGTTTTAAGATATAAAAGTTTTTTATTTCTAATATTTAATTCAAACAAATTATGAATTACATAACATTGAAATTGTAAATTGTAATGAAATAGAATTATCTATGGCCATTTAAATGGTATTTATATATAATTTTTTTTTGTTCCATATTATTTAAGAAATTACATTAATATTTTTAACCATACTAATATTTTCTTGTTATAATTTTACAGAAAATCTAGAAGCAGCTATTATTCGAAAACCAAATCCAAATCCAAATCATTCCGCCACAGATCCAAATGTTTTCCTCTGAAATCCCAGAAGAAAAGAAGGTGTTATACTTCAAATTTCCTAAAATCCTTCATCAGTCCTATATGTGAAAGTCATTCATTGCATAATACTGTATTATTAAAGCATTATGTATTTCAGACGATCAGATATGTCACCACATACACCTCCCATAGCAACTAGAAATACTAAAATCTTCACCATTGAGGTAGATGATGAATCTAGTTTAGACTTGGTTTACCCGCATAGTAGAAGTATCTCCAAACATAGGAGTCCAGGTACAAATTTACATGTTATTTATAATTTACAAATTGATGGGTAGGCAATTATTTAATGGTACATTTTCCTAATCATTGTAATTAATAGTTGAATAGAATAAAACATTTGTTTTTGCACAAAATTCTGAATCGATTTTCACATCTGAAAAACCATATAAAGGATTAGTTGTTTATTACACTCGCTAAGTTTCAGTATAGATTGCCCAGAGAGTTTTTTTTAATAAAGAAACAAGAAATAATTAAAAGTTATTGTATGGTTCAATTAATTTTTTATAACCTTTTTTTTTTTAAATATAATTTTAAATGATTCAATAATTATATAATAATTTATTTCATTTGTATTTTTTAGATTCTTTTCATCAAGATTCGTGTCATCATCGCCATAGTTCATCACACCGTCACCACAGATCTGTTAATGAAGATCTTGATTTATCACCACCTCCATCCAAGAGAAGAAAAGAGTCAAATCGACACTCCAGTCGAGATCGTATCGTGCGGCATGAATCTCGATCAGCTGGTTCTCGGCATGTTTCTAGTAATATGGTGGTAATTTCCAGAGAAAGGGACGCCAGGAGAGAAAGAAGCAGTAGAATAATTGTCAGATCTAGATCAAAATCAAGAAGTCCAAGCAGGCATAAAATACATTCAAGATCAAGGTGATTAGCTATAAATTCAACTCAAACCAGATGAATTATTTTTCTATATAATAATTCTGCATTAGTTTTGGCAGGTCTTTATAATTTTCTACTTTATTCAACAAATTGTTACATGATTTAATTTATTAGAATGTATGTAACTATAGAAGCTAATGAAGATATTTTCAAGAAATTGCATCCATTTCAAATTTATCTTCATGGATTTGTCATAGAGAAATTGCAGCTTGAGTTAAATTTTCAAATATTTTGTGTGCTATTAATTCCAGTTAATGTTTTAAAAATATCATAAGTTATACATATACATATACATAGTTATATTGATTTTTTTTTTCATATTTTATAAATTGTGAAACATCTGTTAATAGAACAATAAGTCATTAGTCCAGATTTTGGCAAATGCTTAAATAATTTTAATGATATGATATGTGTGTTTGTATGTATGCATGTATACTTTTGAATTTGATGTTTATATATGTATTAACAGAGTCTAATAATTAGGCATAACATCAGTAAAACACATGATTTTCTTTCAAAATTTGTTCTAAAATCAATATGT